ATAAACCCAAAATCAGTCCCATGACCCATTTGGCCAATTTTGAAAATTTAGCACGGCAGCTCCGCCGCCCGCGACGGTGGTCTACCTCGGGTCAGCCGATTCTGCATCAATTCCTGCGAGCAAACACGTTAAAGGGCCTTGGTTGGCCGAAAAAATACAAAAAATCGAAACTCACCAGTGGCTGGGCTCTCCGGTGTGGCGGCTCCTCCGGCTCACGTTGCGGTGGGGTGTTTTGTTTTGGTCAACCTGTAGAGAAGAAAATAATGATCACAACGGTGAAAAAATTACGCGAAATGGGAATTGGAAAGGGCCTCATCGGAGGCGTTTTGTGAAATTCTTCGCAAGGCGCCACCGGGCTTCGCCGATGTTTTTTGACTAATTGGCCAGTCTTTTCACTCCGATTTAATCATGGGTTAGCTTAAAATTGAATTTCGTACAAAAGAAAAAGTTTTTACCTTTTTTGACAGTCGGTAAGGGTCCCAGTGCGGCGGCAGGTGGCGGCGGTCGGCTCCCCGGCAGCTGGGTCGTCTTCTCTGGTGAGGGGTTATGGCGGCTAGGGTTAGGGTTTGGTGCGGATAGAGGTTATTTATATCCATCCACTTTTGATCTGAGCCGTCCATCGCGTTTGATCTGGACCGTCCGTGCACACGAGAACGGAACTCAGCCGTTCAATCACGTGGCACACGAATCGCCCACATGGTCCTCCCCCCCGCCCCGTGGCCTCCCGCGTCAGCTTCTCTACCACTTGACGCGTCCTGGTTGGTCCGGGCTGCTGACCCGGCGCCTGAAGTGGTAAAACTTTCCAAAATTGTGTTTTGGCCCTTATTTTTCTATTTTTCTTTCAAAAATACCCATAAAACCCAAATTATTAGCCCTTTTTTTCCAAAATTATTTTCAATTAAATCATCTTTCAATTTTATTTCCTTTTTATACTCTAAATTAAATAAAACAAAATACAGTAAAATAAAGTAAATGAATAAAATTTATATTTACTAATTATTTAATCACCACAAAAAAATTTGTGGGTGTTACAACTAGGCTGTGTGGGGAGAGAGGACTGCTAGAAATGAGCAGAACTAAGCAAACCGAGAGGCGAGGGAGACGGACAGGGATGAGGTCATATGTTGGCCGACACTTATTGGTTTAAGTGTGTGTTTAGGAGGCCTTTGGCCGATACTTAGGGATTTTGGGGTACCGATGTGGTGAGAAAACACGTCTGTTTTGTGTGTCTGTGGCCACTCAGTGGTCGATGGGTGTCTGGGCATTTGCTGGTGCGTAAGGTGCCGATAGGGTAAAGAGGCACGTCATGTGCGTGTGGCCACTTAGTTATCGGGATGTTGTTAGAATGAAGCAGTTGTTGTTGTGTGGAGGTGCCAGTAGAGTGAAGAGGCACAGCTGTGTGAGTGTGGCCCTTAAGGGTTTACGGTTGTGTGAGTGTGGCCCTTAAGGGTTTACGGTTGTGTGAGTGTGGCCCTTAAGGGTTTACGGTTGTGTGAGTGTGGCCATTAAGGGGTCGATGGTTGTGTGAGTGTGGCCCTTAAAGGGTCGATATGTGTTTGGGGGTGTCTACTGTTGTGGTGAGATAGTGGATGCGGCACGGGTGTGTGTGGGTGGGGTGTGCGGCACGGGTCGTTATTTGCACAATGAGGTGCGGTGTAAAGTGGGTGGTATGAATATGAAAAAAAGAAAGATACGACTGAGTCTGGTCATGTCGAGTGGTGGTACTTATAGGGGTTATTAGTTGTTTGAGCTGTTATGGTATTTGGTGTGGTGGTACTACCGAATGTGTTGGGTGGGTTTGCGTTCTGTATCTAGGAGTCGATAAGGCCATAGTGAAGTATTATGTTAGAATAATAGGGGTGTCGGGCTGTGCCGACCAGTCTTAGGGGACGAGGTTAGAGATAGTAGGTTACAAATGGGAATGAGTGTGAGTGTGAAAGAAGCATGGGTGGAGAGGAGGTGTAGTGAGTAACAAGGAATGAGCAACGGAGTGCAGAATAAAATGTTGGGAAGAGAGACTAATTAATTGTCATACTTTAGTTTTAAATTCTAAATTGTTCTTATTGGGTTATTTATACTTATTACCTTCATTTTAAGATGTTATGCAATATAAATTAAAACCGGAATGTTTAGCCACGAGACTCAATACTTAAGGAAGATAGAATAGTAATATTAAAATTAATATGAAGGGTTACAATTAACTGTATTAAAACGACAGTTAATTTTTATGTATTCTCTTGTATTCGTTAGATTGATTTTAGTTAAATGTTGTATATTTTGTAAAGAATTGTGTGTCTTATGGTAAGAATTTTTACAGTCTTAGTTGAATTTTTTTCGATACGATGCGTTATATAGGATACTGAAATATATTATCCTTATTCCTCAGAACAAGGAAGTGGTATGTCACAAAATATGTCTTGTGATTCATGGTTGGGCTTCCTCCAAGTGTAATATTTTTTGTTGCATTTAAAAGAAAATTGTTAAAATTGAATATAAATAATAATTAAATTATTTTTTTATTATTTATAAATTTTGAAATAGTGAATCACAATCAATTGCTTAACAACGTGAAATAATAATATATCTTAAAAATTACATATATATAATTATTATTGATATAATGTGGAACGTGGTGTTCTTGAATCTTCTTATTTTGGGTCTGTCCCACTTAACAAACATGTGGAATTTTTTTATTTAATATAATGGTATTATGGTTAAAATTTTTATTTTTATTTGAATATTGCAAATTTAAATTTAATTAAAAGAGTAGAGTTTATTATTTTATGTGTATGCTACTAAGTCATTTTGTTCTGCAACAATCTCCCTCCATACTTAATTATATATATGTATATATGTACACACTAAAAGTAAATATAACATATAACTAATTATTATTATCTATGTTGAATTATAATTATTATATGATAAAATAATTTTTTCTTAAATAATAGTGATTCGACTATTTTTTTTGTAAGAGTACAAGTTTGAATTATAACTTTTATATCCATCTATCTTTATTAAAAAAAAATATATTGTTATTAGTCTATATATACTAACTAATTAATAAAATATATGATTTTTAATTTAAAATTTTATAATTACCATAAAATAAATTATGCTTGACTAACAAATGCAGTGCGTTAATAGATGTGTGTGTGTGTGTGTGTGTGTGTATAAGTAGTAGTAAGTAGTGCCCGGTGGCGACACAGAAGAGGAAAGGAATGTGAAATAAATCAAGAAATTAAGTTTGGTGGCAACAACCGCCAATTCAGAAACCAAACACTGCCTTAACCATTGAGGGATATTCACACACAACTGTTATATATATATATATATATGTATTTATACAATTACCATCATATCCTGAGTCTTTTTTGTTATACATATACATATAATTCTTGTTGTGGGTGAGATGTTCACAAATACTTATACAAGTAGAAAGGGACAAAAACAAAAAAGACTCGGGATCTGATGGTACATATATGTATGTAGTGTGTGGTATATATGTATATATAGAATTAAAATGGGGATAGGGTATTAAATGGGTGGAAAGGATGAGTGTACAACAATGGTTGACAGTGGAAAGTAAATGCTCAAGGTGCGAGTCTTGGCTGAATTTTTGAGGCAAAACAGAAGATCTCTACATCCAATCACTTCTTTAGTTTTCTTTAACATGTTTCCCAACAGAGACTCACTTTTATTCTTTTTTAAATAGAAAATATTATATTAAATATAAATATATATATATATATATGTATATATAAAATAGAAAAGTAATTATAAGTATTACTTTTTGTAACTATTTAATGTTAATATGCTTTTAAAATTTATTTCTTTAAAAGAATTATAATTTAACAGCTATTTAAAATATTAATGTCAATTTCTTAATACTATACACTATTTTTGCTTTTTTTAATTTATTTTTTAATTTTTAATAACAATTAAGTAAAATTTTTAATAAAATTTGAAATTAATGGCAGCAATAAATTATAAGGGAAAAACATTGGGATGGGGTTGGAAATTATTGGAAAGAAGAGTAAAGGGTCTGTGTAATGTTCCCTGCTTCAGGGCTTGCCAGTAGGGATGTAGACAGGCAAGCTGGCCTCTGCTCCAACAGTTCAGAATTGAGCCCAATTGGTCTGGACCCCGAACCCTACACAAGTTGCCTTGTATAGGGATCTTACACACCCGCACACACATACATATATATATATATACATGGGTTGAGAACATAGGATCATATCTTTATTTTTCAACTTAAACAAAGCATAAAGAGAAAACTACGGTTATTAAAACTGATTTGATTAATTGGGAATCTAGTTTATTAATTGAATCAGTAATTTATTAGCCCAATTGTAAACTCAAAAATTTGCGTGTAAAGTAAGAAGTTAACAGTTATAATATTCAAACTAATGGTTAATAACTATTTAAAACATTATTATCCAAACTGGTTACTTTTAATTGATATAGCTTTTTTTTTTTTTTCCAGTTTTACCAGCTTTATGGATATATATATATATATATATATGTATATATGGGTTCACTGGGATGGCATTTTGTGGGGCCATGCTCCCAAATGGAGGTGTTGGCAAAGTGGGAGTCATTTTATGTTTTATAAGATGAGATTCAAAACTGATAGGTAAAACATTACTGTCTTCTTCCTCAACCTTGATTGCACTTCCACTCAATGCATCTCCCACATGCTCTTGTTTCATTTTCTCCATTTTTCATCTCAACCCTATTAATACCTTTTTCCACTTTAATATAAAATGATAAGCTCAAGACCCTTGTCTTGAAAAGTGTTCTTAGGCACGTAGGTTTTACACGTGCGGATGTATTAGTGTTTCTTTATACTTACATAATATGCCCACAACACCATGACTCATGACACAAAGATTTCAGTTAAACGTACTAGTGAGAATCATGCGTATCATAGTAGGGTAGGATGGCCAAAACTGTAAGAGTATAACATTCAAGCGTTCTTAATTTACAAAATCATATAAAAACAAACTTATATAAATCAATTTCATTACTTTCACCATCCTAAATACATCACAAAGGTCATAATTACAATCAATGGGGTTCTCCACTCACAGAAGAATATCACAGTAACTTCACAACAAATCCAGCACAAGCATAAAACCACATGCACCCCATATTCACTCACCTTAAAAATACTTCTATACCAACTTGGTGGTGATGGCATAATGCTCACCTGTACTAAGCAGAATAAGCACTTCATGGGCTGCGGAACTCTAATGCTCCTTGGAGATTTTTCACAGCACTATCATAGTGTACAAAACCCATGAACCAAAATTCATGGTTATCAACAGAGATTACTTGGATGTATTTCTCGGAGGGGTTAACTCTGCTCGTTGATTGATTAACTGCCGTCAACTGCTGCAACGGAATAATCACCTACGTGTGAAATAGGAATAATTTATTTATACTGCTCCAACATGAAAAGAATCAGAGAACTCCAGTAAATAACTGCATGATCATTGCAGAATTAAGAGGCCATTAGATTGGCTTTGTTTTCTCTTTTTTCTTTTTATTTTTTTTTTGGGGGGGAGGGAGATAATTAGCCTTTTTCTTAGGAGGAAATGCAGTTTATGCAAATGAAGAATGACTTTTTGGTATATTAGATTTTTTAACAAAAAAATAATGAACCCCTCAAATCAACTTATATTTAGGGCTCATCTTTTGCCTAGAAAAAAGCCAATGAGTTATATACCAAAGAAAGCAACTCCATATTTACATGGTTATTTTTCCTCTCAAAACTAGTTTAAATCTCTAAAAAATCAGTCCAAAGACAAAGAGCCTCCATTAACTGTGTCTTGCATGCAATCAAGAAACAGAAGTTGCAGATATCCCAGGCACAGGGCAGAGTTTAAAACAGAAGGTTGTTACAAAATACCATTTGCCTCGGAATGTAATTTAACTTTTGCCAAGGTATCACATCACACCTGAGTCTATTGGTATCAAAAATCAATCTACGTTATTTTATTTGAAAATGCACAAACATTAAACTATCAAGAAAATTTAAAAAAAGACCTTAAGGTATCTAGATTCTTCTTGCCTCAATCAACACAAGGTTAAACATTACTTACCTGCTCTCTTCCAGATGCCCGATCCAGAATAAAATTTACCTTCGATTCAATAGCTATGAAGATCTATTGGCCTTCTATCAAACAAAAGAAAAAACGCGAAATATGGATGTAAGCTATGAAACACTGAGAAAACTTGTTCATCAGTTGTCTAGAACTTTCTCATAGAACTTTCTCTCCTTACATCTGTTTGATGTATCATCATAGTTCAGAGAGCAATTGTCAGTTTTTACTTGTCTAAAATCTGTTTGATGTGTTATCATTGTTCAGCAAGCAATTGTTACTTTTCTCTCCATTACTCACAGACGTAGATTTTTGGACTCAATTGTTTTTGTTACAGTTGGATAGGTAACCTTGTCCCTCTCGTCTAGACATGTTTATCTCTTCTGTCTTATGGGCTGTATGG